TTAGTCTTTCCTTCTTTCTTGCAGCGGGAGATGGACCCGTTGGAATAAGAGTTATGCACGTGTGCCACCCAAAGTTTTTCTTATTGCGTGACTTTTCAATTGTTTCAAGTTGGTGTTCCAACTTTTAAAAAAATTACATTGAAATGGTAGAATGATGTCAATTTATAATTTATGAAAAATTACATATACCTATACATAAAAAATTTTTTCTTTCAGTGGTGTAAATTTTAAATGTTTAATTTTTTTTTATTTACCTATATATGGAAAACAATTTAGCGGTGTCAATTGAAACCACACCTCAAAGGGTGGCTCCATCCCTGGCTCCATTATCTCCAGCCTGTAAATATAACTTCATCTGTTTTCCCTCACCCTTGTTTTTATTAGCAGGATTACCTAAGTATTTTTCTGAATGATTCTTGAATTTTTTGAACCATTTACATTAGCATCAACACCAAAAGTTTTCTTTCAAAACTTACATTCATCCTTAAGAGATCCTTCTTCCAAACCCTGGCTCCATTATCTCCAGCCTGTAAATATAACATCATCTGTTTTCCCTCACCCTTGTTTTTATTAGCAGGATTACCTAAGTATATTCTGAATGATTCTTGAATTTTTTGAACCATTAACATTAGCATCAACACCAAAAGTTTTATTTCAAAACTTACATTCATCCCTAATAGATCCTTCTTCCAAATACTCGATGAAATCAGACCATTATCCCTTTCTCCCTCCACAAGCTTTTTCCCTGGAGGCAGCCCTTTCTGCAAATCAGCAAGATCGGTTTCACTTGCTGCATGAGACAATATTGAGTTATGTTATTCAGAGAAATACAACCGTCTTTTGGAGGTAGAGTTCTCCATCTATACATGCCAAAATCAATCAAACAGATCACACACATATTTCAAAGTATATTAGTTCTGAAAATTAAAGTCTGTAATAGACTTATATTACCCCTTACAAATATGCAAGTGTTTCATTTCACAATATCACTGATGTATTCTCGTTTCAATTCTAGTATATATGGAGTACTATGGTTTTAGCAAAAAGTAATTATTCAATCCAACATAAACTTCAAATGTTAGCAAGTGTACAGTCAATTTTATAACATGAAGAAGAACAGAAGAAGTGACGTCAAGTTCACGAATGTATAAAGATGATTAAAAGTCAAGATGAGTGATTGACGAATGAGGTGTATCAGTGTATGGAATAGAGAAACGAAGAGGAAGATGAGAGGATTACATGTAGACTGTGATCTCTTGTCAATCTAAGACAAAACTAATCCGTAAATATAATCACAAATGATGCGGACTGAAGCATACTGAGAAATAATTTAACGGGTCACCGGTTTGGACCTGGTTTTTCCGGGTTTGACTCGAATCAAATCGGATCCCGAAATCTTAAAATTATAAGGACCGAACCCCGGACCAGTTTATCCTGGTATGGTCCGGATTGGTCCATTCTGGTCCGGTGCAGGTCTAAAATACAGTCCGACTCGATCAATGCACACCACTAGTTGTTCGTGTGGGCTCTAACCTGTCCCATTTTCAACATCCTATATGTAAACACTCGAGCGGCTGATATAAGAACTATACACAAGGACCTTATCGTTGTCATTGGTTGAAGAGGCACAACATGTAATCTTTAATTTTTAAGTCAAATACCTTAGATTAACATTCCACCCTTTTTTTCTTACTTTTTACATTTATTTACTAATGAACTCATACTCATATTTGAATTGGAAGCAGACTGGAGACTGTTGTTCTGTGGACTTAGAACTATGCAACAACATATAATACAACTCATTTGGGCTTGATTTTACATCAATGAGTGCCAACGTTTTTCATATATTGTTTTCTTTGATTAATTTGGGGCTCTGCCAATTTCTATTCTTTCAACTGATATTACACTCATAGAAGCATAAGTACAATGTGCATTGTTCTGAATCTTTTTCTTCCTCACTTTCTTTCTCTAAGAAGAAGGGAGTGAATATGACAACACCTGTATCAAAATCAAACTCGAGATCCTTATTGATTTGAATAAGCTTTGGAATTGTGATATCTTCCTCCAATGGCGGGGCCGACATTTTTGTTAGCTCTATTGTGTAAATAGGCAAATGTACGTTGTTTCTACTTATTGCCCACATTTGTAATTTTTTGAGTAGCTTATAATTGAAATGGAAGTTATTGTTGGAAGATGTACTAGTTGAAGAATATGCCAGTTTTAGAACATGGTGTTGTTTATATATGGATGCGATTTTTTTTGTAACCCTCTTCAAGTTTTGGAATGAACATAAGGTGTAATATGAAACATTAGAACTATGTTCTGTATACTAATATTCGATTGTAGCTTTATGAAGCTAGTAAGTTATATTTGTGTAAACTGAATGGTAAAAATAGTATTCCATGTAAATTGAAGGGTAAACTTTATCCTTGTTTATTAATTCTTGTGCCCAACACCATGTTGCAGTCTATTTGGAAAAGAAGGATAGTATAATTTAAATTAGTAGCTTTAGGGCTTCTTTGTTATAGTTGCAAGTTTTGAATAGTAAGGCGAACAACTATCGATGATAGAGACAATAGTTTGTTAACATGATTGCTTATTTGATAATATTTTGATCAACGGATTATGGAGGAAAAGCTAAACTCAATAAAAAAACATTTATTTCAAAAAATAATTAGAATAGTTTTTTATTAAATTCAGTTAAAGCATAAAATTCAAGCATCATAAAAACAAAAATAGTAAAAGCAAATCAAGTCCGGCCGGTTTACCCCACTAGAGGTATCAATCTATGGTGTAAAGTTGCGATGCGAAACTCTCTACCTCAACAATCTCATCACACCACAAGAATGCAATTAGTAGAATTTCAACAATGAGTGCGAAACACAGTTGCTTAATATTTTGGTAAACTAATTGTGGAAAAAGCTAGCCTCAAAAACTTTTTTAAAATGAAAATATTTATTTAAAAAGTTATTAGAATAATTCCTATTCAATTCAAGCTAGGGCTGGGAAAAAACTCCCGACTCCTGACTCCCGATCCCGATCCCGACAATCCCAATCCCGATAATCCCGATCCCGACAATCTCGATCCCGACTAGTCGGGAATTTTTCCCGATCCCGACTAAGTCGGGACGGGACCGAGATTTTTTCAAAAAAAAGTCGGGATCGGGAAAATCCCGACATCCCGACATTATACACACACATGTATAGAATTATATATGAATATATAAAAAATGAATATACATTCATAAAAAATGAATATGTATCTAAATAATTTCATATCTTTTTTATTTACTTATTCCTTACATAGATTAATCTTTTACTACGAGTATCTTACAATATCAAACTTCTAAAACTATTCGGCATTTGTCCCAAAATGAATATTCGGGATCCTAACTAAATAGAGATTATTCTTGATCCCGACAATCTAAATCACAACAATATTACAAATTTTGCGGTTCTGATATAAATAGAGATTATTCTTGATCCCTTTAAAAATCATGATCGAGACTAAGATTTTTTTTCTTTAGTAAATAATCATAATATGTATTTATACATTATATTCATTGGTCACAAAGTTTATGAATGAGTCTACTTAGTTTTGAATTTTAAATAATATACGTTACACATCCTTCTTTTAGTGATTTTTATATAATGTTTGATGTAAGTTTCACTAAGCCTTGATAGCTTATTCAAAAATTATACTATTAATTAATTGAAGTTACAAATAAAAATTATTCTAAAAGTATGTACTAGTGTGAATTTGTGATGATAATTATTACAATAAATTTTATAAGTAGATGATGATAAATATGGTTTAACAATGAACAAAGAATAATCTTGAAACCATTAAATATCAAAATTAGTGTTTAACTAAAGAAATTACATAATTTTATGTTTGACACTTCATTGTCGGGATTTAGCGGGATTAAGCGGGATTCCCGATCCGGATCCCGACTTAATCGGGATTTTAATGTCGGGATCCCGACTTAATCGGGACGGGATACGGGATCCTCTTGTAGTTTGACTCGGGATCGGGATCGGGATTTGGGCAATCGGGATCGGGATCATCCCGATCCCACCCCTAATTCAAGCTAGAGATACCCCAACAAAGACATCAATTTATGGTGGGTACACACTTCAAAATCTTTCTCATAGACAATAGTTACTCTCAAGTTAGTTTAGAATAAAAAATTATGTGTCAATAAAATACGTTACATATACTCCATCCGTTCTTTATTATTAGTGCTCCATTCCATTTTGGGCTGATTTTTTTATTTGTCCTCCTTTCCATTTAAGGAAAGTTTTACAATTAATATACCTTTATACCCCACTTTTATTATCATTATCCCTTTCTCTTTCCTACTTTTTCATTTACCCACTACCCATTACACCTTTTACACTACCCCTATTACTTTCCTCTTAAAACTCGTGCCAAAGCCTGGACTAATATTAAAGAACAGAGGGAGTATATACATTATTGATAGTCTCAAATTGATAGTCTCATTTCTCTTTTTGGAAAGAAAGATGTGATCTACATTATTTCACTTTTTTCTACTCAAATCTCAACCACAACTTTTACTTTTTCAACCACTTCCTTAATCTTTGAGCCCAAAAGAAATGAGACTCTCATTTTGGGACGGAGGTAGTATAAAATATGCCTATCACATTAATAGGTTTTTGAACACAAAAATAAAAGTACATGCAACAGGTTTATGCAACCGTAATGTACAGAAATCAGAAATCAACGGTTAGCATTCAACCTACGATCTAATTTACTAGAGAATAATTATCAGTCACCCAATTTGATGCAACATGTATAAAAATATACTAAAATAAAGTGTGTGTAAATGTCATTTTTCAATTTACTTGAAGAAGATACTGTTTTGTTGTGATGATAAAAAAATTCAGGCCCAATTTGGGGAGGAAACTAGCAGAGGCAGCCCGGAACATTTCGGGAAAAGGGGCCATGGAAATCTTATCGTGCCATTTGTTTACAGCGAGTAAAGCGAGATGAGGATTGGTGGGGCCCGCTCACTCCCATCCCATTCCTATACGAAGCGTCGGAGCCTTTTATTATATCGTCCTCCCAGTTTACTTCTCTTGTAACCCTTTCTCCCGATTCCTAGACCAGTCCAGGAAGAAACCTTCTCGCACTTTTCCTGTTCTCTTCAGCCATGTCTCAGGTAATTACTGATTCTATGAATTCAAATCAATCAAAAGTTCATTAATCATTATCAATCAAATCTCATCGTTTTCGTTTTCCTGTAATATGATTATTACTGGCTGAAGCATCAGATAGCTTAGCTGGAGCTAGACTATTCAATTGGGTTATGACATGAGTTAAACTAATATGGGCTTGATAGTACTAATCAGTTTAAGTTTGCTTATAGTTTTGTTGGTTATTATGTTCGAGAATTGAAAGCTTTGATAAATTTTTCTAGCTGATTAAGTAAGATTTTGATTCCCCGTTTGACATCTTTTTTTTGTTTGGTTTCAGGAAGGGAAAAAATTGGTGACTCAAAAAGGTGGCCCGTGATCTCCTTCCCTTAATACTTCATATATGAGCTTAACTATATTTTTGTGTGTTCCATTGTTGTTGAAATCAAGATAATTGATTTAGTATCTTGATGGATTTAAATTGATCTGTAATTCATACAAAATTAGTAAATGATTTGGTGGGAATTAAGCATTCTGCTAAGGTGTTGAACATATACTGCTTTTCTCACTTTATATTATACATCAACTGTTTGAACATACACTTTACAGATAAACGAAAGCAACCATTGTTAATTACTCTGTATTAATGGGTTTTTATTAACAAAGAAGTGACTTTTATGTATTACTCTGTACGTTATTGATTTATAGTAACCATAATTTGAGTCTGATGGATGATCATTTGTATCTATGGCAAAGAAAAGACTGAGATTATAAAATCACGGTGAAAAAATAAATTTGAGGATAAAGTGTGTACCAATGAATAAGAGAATCTTGTATTCAGCTTACTTCATGTGTATGGTATGTTTGCTAATTCTTATTGGGTTTGGTATAACACTCGACTGGCTAGTCACTCGCTGCAAGTAATATTACTCATTTGGTTGTTTCCCAGACCTGTTCATCTTTCCTGATCCTTTTTCTCATGTACAGTTGAGAGAATGTGGGCTTAGTTTAGTGATCAAGTGATTCTTACTAAATTTTCAGATGACAAATCTGGAGCAGCTGATAGTAAAGGGCTTTCGGAATCTGCTGCTTTACCTGGAATGCCCAATCCTTTTGATTTCTCAGCCATGTCTGGTCTCCTTAATGTAAACGCTTACTACCTAAATTTGTTTAACATAAATTTTCATTTACTAATTTGCTCACTTTAAATTATTACCCACACTGTCACATTCTCTTTGTCCCGTCATTTCTTTTTTCTTCGTCCTAGTTAATATGTCCCGTACCATACTTGGTAATAATTGTATGTTCAAATTCATTCACTGTATAAACTCAATTAAACCCACTTCCCCTAATATGCTTTCCACTTTCTCATGTCCGAAAGATAGTTGAACGAAGGCAGTAATTTCTAATCCCACAAATCACAATTTCATTATACTCGAGCAATAGTGTAGTATCACTGTCATGATGCAAGTTATCTTTTCAGAATTGATGGTGTGGTTTCTTGTAATGTACTGTTAGTGAGTAAATGAAATTGGATGTGTTGCTATTGTGCTAATATGTTTTGTTTTCTTAGTCCTTGTTAATGGAAAACCTCTATTTTATGTGAATATTTCTTCTTGAATGTATGAAATGTAGGATCCAAGCATTAAAGAACTAGCTGAGCAGATAGCAAAAGACCCTTCGTTTAATCAGATGGCACAGCAACTTCAAGATACATTTCAACATGGTGCCGCTGAAGATGGAATCCCTCAATTTGATCCTCAACAATACTATTCCACCATGCAGCAAGTTATGCAAAACCCTCAGTTTATGACAATGGCTGAGCGGCTTGGTAACGCACTGATGCAGGTTCGTGGCCCTATATGTTTTCTGGATTTATGATGCCATTGTTTTGTTATCATGGAAGAAAAACTGACTTTTATCATGAACTTTGCAGGACCCTTCCATGTCCAGTATGCTTGATAATTTGTCAAATCCTACACAGAAAGACCAACTTGAAGAACGAATGGCACGTGTCAGAGATGATCCTTCTCTGAAACCTATTCTCGAAGAAATAGAGCGTGGGGGACCAGCTGCAATGATGAGGTAAGAGTCAGGTCTTAATCCCAAGTAGCTTGGCTCAGTTGCATAAATTTTATAGTGCCAATTAAATGTATAGAATTAATTAACATTGTAAATTCATGAAAAAACATAGCAGCGATGTTTCACTGATGAATGCACTTCCTGTTGCAATCTTCGTAAGAAGGATCAGTGCTATGGAAATTCTAAAACCGTCATCATCATATGTTATTATAGTATTACCGCATACATGGAAAATGCTCATTAGATGACTAGGACTTGTGGTGTTTGCCATTATCATGCCCATTGCATAAAGCAGTTCTTCGTTTGCTAAAAATACCATCTTTGAATAGGAAAGAAGTTATGGTAACTTAACACACAAATATGCAATTTTATATTTTAAGGTACTGGAATGACAAAGATGTGCTGAAGAAGTTGGGTGAAGCAATGGGTTTTCCTGTTGGAGGAGAGGCAGCCACATCCTGTGAAACAGGCGCAGATGAAGTAGAAGAATCAAATGAAGATGAATCAATTGTTCATAACTGTGCAAGTGTCGGTGATGACGAGGTGAGGTTTTGGGTATTTTTTTAACTCTGAATAAATCACGTGTAAATCTCTAACCCTTTGCTTGGGCGGGATGAAATAGTGTTGAAGTATATGTTCGATGCTGGATTTGTGTAACATAATAAACCATTATACACAGTATAAGTTAGGCTTGGTTGGGGTTTGATTATTTGTTTAACAATCATGATTAAGGGTAACTCGTTAAGAATAGTTTTGGTTCCATTTATACACCTCAATGTTTTCCAAGTTCCAACCTGGGTTGGTCTAAAAGCGTGTTGAAGTATTCACTCCACACGAGATTGGTATAGCATAATAAGCCACTATATAAGTTTTTGAGCTACTCCTGTTAGGTTGACCTTTGTGGATATAACTTCAAGGCTTAATAAATAGAAAAGAGAAAGAAAGATGTAGAATAGGAGAAAACCGTAAAAGATGAGAGAAGTGAATGGGACCAAATTTATTTATTTTTCTTCCCGAGGAAACTGGAGATATATGCATCTTTTCTACCCATTTCTTTGACATTCCTGTCCTACCAACAACATAGAAGATCTACCCTATTTCTTCACGATTCTCTCGTCTGTATTTCTTCACTGAACCAAACAATGACTAGAAGTTTTATGATTGACTTTTCCTCAGTTCCGTGCTTTTTTTTTATCCTGACCCAAATTCTCTGGTGGCTCTTTTCTTGTAAATCAAGGCTAGGTTCTGTAGATATAATGGCTCGTTTGTTTTCAGGGCTTGAGGAATGCTCTTGCTGCTGGTGCTGACAAAGACGAAGAAGATTCAGAGGGAAGGACAGGATTGCATTTTGCTTGTGGATATGGGGAGGTTAGTGAGTTCAAAGCTTTTATCTTTATAAATTATGTCCATCTTTTGAAGTTTTAGTCAATCTTTTATGCATTTAGAAATTAGGAATTCTATGTTCTATTGTTTTTCTAGGGATTCATCCAACTAACATTCTTATAACAAATATAATTGTAAAGTTGTCTTTTTCTTTTCAATGTTGCTGTGGAGCAATATCTCTGTGGGTCGCTTGCCTCAAACCTTTTCAACAGGTGTCGCTCCTTGTGTAATACAAACAACAACCTCCCAGCCTTAATCCCAAAAGACTTTGGGATTAGATACCATGAATCGACATATAGTATCATAGTTAAAAATAGTAGATGTATAATAAACAGGGAAGACAAAGATCCTTGTTTATACTAATGATAATAAATACGTAGAAATATGATCACTTAAAAAGGAAACAGTATGTCTTGAATTTTAGCACATGTATTTGTGGCATTAGTGTAAATTATTATTTGGAGTGGGTAATATAGATAAGAAAACAACTGTGTGTTCCATGGTCCCAAATGAAGACAGGGAACCTTTTGCCTTATTAACTTCTTAAAAAGATGAAACACTTGACAGAATTATTATGCTTTGAAAAAATGGTTAAGGAAAATTGTGAAAAGATGAGAAACTTAAAATGGGAAATGGATTTATTTTCTCATTCTACAAATATTTCCTTAGTAACTTTGGTATTTTTAATTATAATACAAGACTTATGTGATTGAATATAAGAATGGAGGCTACATTGAACCGTTATCAAGATTACGGACCACGGTATTAAGTTGCGTGCAGCAATACGTGTTGCGGTTTTCAGCACAACCGCATCAACCTGCAATAACGGTGTTTTTTTAAATTCACGGCCAAAACCACAAGATAGCTGCATCAGGCTGCACCAGGTCGCATCGGGACCTCAACACTAACTTAATTTTTTTCTTATTTCGTTCGAATGTAAAGTTGTTTCACACTGCATCACAGCAGCCGCAAGACACAACCACATCTGTAATTTAAAACCATGATAAGGACCTTCTAATACTATAACATTTACCAAGGGCTTATTTTGGCAGTGGAGCTTTGATGATTGTTTGTTTCTAAAAGTAGTTGAGAGAAAAGTAAAATATAAGACTTCTGGATAAATTGAGAGGAAAACCCCCCATCTTAAGAAATGAAATGGTGTCTGTCAAGTGTCTCTATATGGACCATTAAGCATATGGACTCAAATGTATCACTGCATGTATTTGGCTGTAAATAATACAATGTCCAGAATTGGGAATGCTAATGATGTGTACCAAACATGGAAAATGGTATAAAAGAAAGGAAAAAAAATAAATGGCTAGAAAAAACACTGTCACACGTTTGGTTTTCTTTTAAAAATATGATTAGAATAAAATGAGATTAAAACTTCACATATGAATAAATAATATAGTTTGAAAAATATATAAAATGGCTTTATTGACTTTGATTCTTTTGTGTTTTAATTTTTCCACCTTAAATTTTCTTTATTTAGAGCCTGTTAGCTTCAATTATTCGACGGAGGTTAATCTGCCGCACTTCATAATAAATACAAATACAGGTAAAGTGTGCACAAATTCTTCTTGAAGCTGGGGCGAAGGTGGATGCTTTAGACAAGAACAAGAACACGGCTCTTCATTATGCTGCTGGGTATGGTAGAAAGGAGTGTGTTTCGCTTTTGCTAGAGAATGGTGCTGCTGTGTAAGTCATTTCCCTTCTCCATCGACATTCTTTTGCCATCATATATGTATATGCGTACAGTTTTTTTCCTCCTTTCAATCTGTCATCTTTGGCTTTATCATGTGGTGACAGCACCCTTCAAAACATGGACGGGAAGACACCAATAGAGGTGGCAAAACTTAATAATCAGCAAGACGTCCTAAAGCTCCTTGAGAAGGATGCATTTCTATAAGCAAGATGGAAGGCACCATTTAGTACAACGTACACCGAGTTGTCATGTAACTCTCTCTTTTGGGAATTTGTGGCGTATGATTAATACATTGTGGTTTGCATACTATTACATATACTTCCGTATATCTTTATTATGACCCTTTTAATTTTGTGAGTGAATGTTGTGTGTATAATTAACAATACAGACCCCTTCATTCTTTTCTTAGATACCGAGTGCTTTTGAACAAAGAGGGGCAGCTATTGAATTTCAATAAATTTAATTCTACAAATGAACTAACAACCTAGGGTAATGAGATGCTCATTGATTCCAATAGGGTAATGAGATGCCCATTGATTCCAATGTATGGTTAATGAGGTTTTGGATCAGGTCTGCCCTAATTAGGTTATGCTTGATGCTTTATTACTCCCCTCTTGATTCTTAGAACGGATATTTGTAATCAAATGAAAGGTGTTAGGTGTATTTTAGAAATGAAATAAAGGATAGGCGATTCGACGATTTGGAGTTGGTGGTGTGGCTCACCTAGTTGAGGAAGGTCTTGCTTTTCTGATAGTGGTGGACTCGGGTCGGGCCATCCGGCCCGTGGACCGGCCCGCTACTGTGCGGGACCGGCCCGGTTCTCGGGTCCGGGCTCGGGTCTCACATTTGGTGAACGGCCCGGCCGGGTTGGGCCCGGGTCCGGGCCAAATTGATTTTTTTTGGGGTTCCACCCGGGTTGGGCTTGATGGTTAGGAGGAGTTTGGGGGGTTCGTGGGGGGGGGGGGGGGGGGGGGGGGTGAGGGGGAGTTAGGAAAGCAAAAAAAAAAAACCGGAGGCCCGGCCAGCCTGCCAGCCTGCCAGGGCCTAGGCCTGAACGGGACCCGGCCCGCGCCGGGTCCATCACAGTTTTCTCGAGTTTCTTTACATGGAAGAATGAGAACTCAGAACTGTATGAAAAATCAATTGGTTTTGATCCAGAATTCGACTTTTTGAGTAGGCCTATATTCACCTCACCTGTGTCAAGTAGGCTCATAAGGCTACTCGCAAGTCGCAACCCTGGGTGAAAAAAACATATTAGGGCTTTTCACATTAAAAAACATCTCCAACCCAAAATATAAGGGTGCTAAAGCCTAAAGTTAGGAGTGGATTCGGGCCGGGTTCGGGTCGGGCCGAGGCATGAGCGGGCCGGCGGTTCAGAATTGGTGGACCCGGGTAGCCACCGGGTCCCGGCCTCTGGTTGGTTTTTTTTGGCTTTCCTTACCCCCCCTCACCCCTCCTAACCATCAAACCCAACCCGGATGGAACCCCAAAAAATTAAAAAAAAAATTCAATTTGGCCCGGCCCCGACACGGCCGGGCCGGTTCGCCAAATGTAAGACCCGAGCCTGGACCCGCCCGGACCCGGACCTGAGAACCGGGCCGGTCCGGCACAGTAGCGGGCCGGGCCGGTCCACGGGCCGGGTGGCCTAACCCGAATCCAGCCCTACCTAAAGTGGGCTGGGGCACCCTTCAGGTGGGAATTCATGGGCATATTGAAATGACAAAATATGTGGGGATATGTAAAAGTATAACCACATTTTTATTTAAAGTCATAACTTTTTATTTGTACTCAATTTTTATAAAAATTATATCAAATTTATAACGTTTTATTATCTACATCAAAATAGCTGAAGGTTTTTAGACCAAAAAATTTTCTTATATAGATTCAGGTTCTAAAATATAGATCTTACTGTTAAAATATTATTTATAAATCTTTCAATTATTTTTTAAAAGATGATTCTAAAATTAAGAAAAAATCCAAATTTATTTATTTTTACATCGTCATGTTTGACTTTTATTATTCATAATTATTTCAAAAAACAATTGCAAAATTAGTTACAAACCTTTGTTGGGTGAATATATTGATGGTGCTGAATTGCAGTGAAAACTGATTTGATTGAGTGAATATGTATAAATTGATAGAAAATTTGATTTATTGACGGGGTAGATTGCGATTATCCCAAGTGTGAGAAATCTCACACAAATTCCCAAAGCATGGACACCATCGACCACCCAAAGCTTTGGAGATATATGTTCAAAGAATGAAATTAAGCTTTAATTTCAATCTTGCTGATAAAGTGTGGATTACACACCTATTACTTAAAGGAGTCCTATGAACAAACTCTAGGGTAGTTGAGTGGAATTAAGGGGTTTACCATTTTTGTTATGCACTTGATCAATTGATGAGTAATGCACTAATGCATGTCTGTAATCTTCTTTTCCGTTTAAAAATAGTTACTTGGGAAAAGGTGCAAATGACCTTAATGTTTATCTGCGAGTAATGGTATATCCAAAAATGGGCAACTTCAAATAAAATTTCTGAGTTGATATAGTTTTCCATTTTTAGGAAAAAATATTAATTAGATAATTTTTAATTTATTAAATTATGTCAATGAAAATTGAATTACTATACATGAAGGCCGGTGAATTACGTAATTACAAATAACTTAAAAGGGAGATGAATTTATATGATGTATTTGCCAGAATATAGTTTCAAATATTTTATAAATTACTTATTAAATTGAAATTCTTGAAGTTCAAACCGTCATCCATATATAAAACAAATGTAGGTGTTCGACAGAATTTAAAAAATCGATTAATGACTTCAGTGTAAAAAACAAGTAATATAAAAAATAATTTTGTCAAATATGGTACGTGATCCATATTTAAAACCAATGTGTTCGACAAAATTATGTTTTCATTTCCATTCTCCTTAGCTTCTCAATATGCTAATGAATTTTTAGATGGGTTTAAAGTATAATGTACGGGAGTATTCATTTTAGAATTTGATATTGTTAATAAGGGCACACTTTCCCTTCACCGTAAAAAACTAGAAGTACTTTTACCCTGAAAAACATTTTGCAGTTGTTTGTACTTGTCGATCTACACTTTAACATTTGCATAATTTTCCATTATATTTTTAATGTGAATGTAAGTCTGTGAAGGTGGTTTCTTCCTTCCTTCCTTGGGGTTTTCACTTGTTTGGATTTCACTGTTGTACTGTATTTGCTATTTCTAGGCTTGTCTTCTGAAGTGCATTTTGAGTTTTGACAGTAAAAAATATGGCCAGTTCTACGCTACAGTGATATGATGATATCTATCCAGTAAATGAAGGTATAAGATTTTGTAAATTTTAGATTTTTACTGGCTTAGATTCGAGTGTCTTCTCATGCCTCCTCGTGGTAAGAAGTCCGTTTTTGGTGGTTATGGTTTCTTCTTCATTTCGCCCTAACACCAATTTAGATTTCACATTGAACAAGTAAAGAAGAGTTATGGACATGTTATTATGCTTGGTTGCTGAACAACTGAAAATATTATTCGATTGAAGACTTACGTTACGTAGTAAGGAGTAATAATTATTCGAATGTTGACTTGTTGAGTTACACGGTTTTGGGAGAAAGATAAGATAAATTTATAATAGGACAATTACAAGATAACATAATTATGGTAAGATCCAGAGCCGTTTGATACATTGATATTGAATGAATCGACTGATACTATTGAAATCAATGAACTTTTAGTTGAAACAGCTGAATGAGTTAAATCAGATGAATGATGCAAAAATTATATTTTAAATATTTTATGTACTTTAAAAATAAAAAACATGTGAAGAAATAGTTACAATGATCTTCAACAATAACTTCAACCGTTTCAACTAAAAAGTAACTTTAACCATATTTATTTTGTTATTACACCATTCAGCGCGAAAAAATCAAAAGATATGTGGGTTCAGTATAAAAGTTGATATATAAGGTGAATGATACATACTACTTACTTGACATGACAAAAATTTATAAATAGAATATCCTCTCTTTATTGGAATGATCTTATATGTTTTTGATAAGTTTTTCTTCACATTATCAAATGCAATGTGTAGGTCTAGACATTTTGATTGACATTATTGAGAAAAATTTATCAAAAACACATAAGAATGTGGAAATGAGAAAAAATGTCATGATTCATTTATTCTTTTGTGTCTATTTCCCTCATGCCATATATGATAGTATGTATCATGCACATTGCAACACTAGCTAGGCCCACTAGCTGTATCGATTGAGGTCTTTCCTTAACTATTATTGAAGTAGACCATATGGATCAAAACGTGATAAAAAATACTGTTCCAATTATCTCATGTTTTGACTTGATACACATATTAAGGAAGTGAGAAATGTGTGACCTAAAATTGTTTAGAGTGAGAAAATGTAGACAAATTTCGTAAACTATACATTCTTTGCCAAAAAGAAAAAGAAGAGTTTATATTGGAAACGAATGAAAAAGGAAAGAATCAAGATAATATTGGGACGAGGAGTACTACGTATGAAGGTATTCTTGTGGTCCCTTATTATACAATTGAACACAAGCACGATAATTAAAGTTACTACTATAATAACTAAATGATAAAAATTACATTTCTATCGACGACCTTTATTTAATTAGTCATATATTTATGATTATTCTTATACTTAATTTGAACTTTAAAGTATTTAACAATAAGTCCTAGAAATTATTCTCTAATAATGAGTGGTAACTATTATTTTCATTTGATGTGAATGTGTTTCTGAACCTATATTTTCTCTATTCTTAATTATAGTATCTGCTCTGTTAAATGTCAACATTTTAGACTGTCATGATTTCGAACATGTGACCTTCAGTTTGGAAGTGTCATACTAATGTCATTGAACCACAAATGTTTGACTGAATTTGAACCCATTATTCACTTACTTTAGCATAATATGTCTTACCATTTAGATCGTTCACCTAGAGGTGTCGCATAATCATCAACAAACTACTAGTTCAAAATCAAGGAGCCATCTGTTAACTACTTAAGTACCTACTAATGTCAATCTTTTGATAGAATTTCACAATTCAAGAAATCATCCCATAAGAAAAGACAAGAGATTTATCCTATTTTCCATTGCAACTCCGATCATCTAAATCAGTAAATTGGTTTGCGCTGGCCGGAGCGGATCTAGAAACCCAAGGAGGACCGTAGACTCCGTAGTAGTGTAGTACTAAACTAAATACTACATAGTACTTACTCCGTATATTAAAGCACACATTAGCAAGTAGACTAAATATAGAAAATGAAAAAATTTAAACTTAAAATTGAAAAAAAAAAAAAGTTCTTCTTCTATGCGCACTGCACACACTACGAAAATATTTTTGAAATTAACACGGATTGACTGATTATTTCGTGCCAAATAGATAGTGTCAGAATGTTTTTGACTAGGATTTAACATATATTCATGTTAAATCTTTATAAATTTTGGCGAATTCTTGTCAAAAATCTCTTCAATCCCGTGTTTTTTGTAGGTATATCGGATTTTTTTATTTATTTTTCAAGAAATAGCGGCTCTAAACCCTAGGGATATCCCTATCGATCATTGCCAGATTGCCTGTAGCAAGATTAACATATAAACTTTTTTTGGGAGAAAAGATTAACATATAATCTAATGCAATCATTTATGAGTGAATTTTTAAGACCATTGTTTATGTTTTGTATGTAGTAGGGCTGGGCAAAAATACCGAAAAATCGGTATACCGCACTTACTGTACCGAAAAATACCGGAAAATACCGGAATATTGGTATACCGTCATTCTCGGTACGGTATGATACCGTACCGATTTATTTCGATACGGTAACGGTAAATGTTTTCAAATACTGCGGTATACGGGTATAATACCATACCGACTCCCTACCCAAAAATTACTTTAAATTCTAAAATATTGTAAAAATCCATTACAATTTTGAATCCTAAACTTAATACTTTGGTTGGTTACAAATATCAAAATACAAAAATATATAAATGCCCAATTTCCCAAACCCACTATAACCTTCTAGGCTTCTATTACATAACATTCAAATAAACTACCCAAATGACTAATGAGTAATGTACTAATTCTAGAAACAAGTTCATCTTGTCCCAAGAACTTACGAGTCGCAATGGCTGAGCCGCTGACGAGTGTGACGAATGTATCTACATAGGGATTCCGCGAGTCAAAACATACAACTTTGTCCAAAAGTCTTATTTAAATATTTTTTAAAATTATAAAATGACTAAATACACAATCATATTAGGAATTAATGATTTTATATCCATATTGTTTGAAAAAAAATTATTTTTGTTAGAGATCACTATTGATTTAATTATATCTATATTATTCAAGTTATTTTAGGAGAATGTAAAAAAAAGGAGAATGTATTACTTTTTAATATGTGGCATGTTGAACTACTTAAATATACTAAAAATAATTATTGTTCAATATTGAATATGATATCAATAGATTATTAATTGTATTTTGAAACATTTTAATAATTGATTAAATATGTCGCTAGTAACACCGATTTAGTGTATTTTATTAATCTATGGTAATTTACCGATACCGTACCATTACCGTACCGAAACTTCGGTATACCAAAATGCGGTATACCGAAACTTCGGTAAGGTAACGGCATATAATTTTGTATACCGGAAGTTTTGGTACGACACAGGTATGAGAGAAAATATTCGGTATACCGTACCGAACCACCCCTAGTATGTAATGCAAAAACCTAGGTGTCATTCTAGATGTTTTTAAACCCACCTTATTACTCCGTATGATATTGTCAAGCTCTTTAAATTATACGGAGTGCTACGTACGTATCTTCGTAATATGTTTCTACCAGTCCAAAATTAGTTCAACAACGAACATGACCAAAAAACTGAAGAATTGTCTTGTCCAATACCTAGCTAGCATAGTACTACATAGTTAACATTGTTTCCTATCTTCTACTCTTGTTACGTTATTTGAATATATCTCACGATAGTTTGCTTATATTCTTCTTCCCAATGAAACATTTCATAGTTTGCTTCTTTTAAAAGTTTAAATTAGACACAGTTGGTTAGATTACTGCATTTGTTTGCTATTTCTTTTAATCAACTTCATCTTTTACATTTTGAATACACGCATATATGGCGGGTTGATAAAATTTATTGGCTTCATGGCTGCTAAGTTTTTGCTGCGTTTATGTTGCATAAATGCGATTATTTTACTTCTAAATTGCACATTTTAGCATGTGTAATATTCTTATAGTCTGGTCGTCTCATACGATCCCTTGTTGAGTTGTTGGCATACTTCAAATTAAAATAGAAGAAAAATCACATAAAAGCGCGCATATTCTAAACTGTTCTAAACCATTATGATAAACCTAGCTTAATTAGGTGTCCATAATCAAGGGTGTATCCACTATGGTTGGCAGGAACAGCTCGATCACCTCAATCCCGAACCAGCCTATATATATATATATAACCCAAAATTTTATGTGAAATTGTTCGAAATAGAAGTTAAATATAGTAATGTCTAGATCAGAATAGACAAAATTATAAGGAAGTGATCTCCATCACACATTTCACACCCATGTACAATACTACGTAACTTAATCATACGTAGTATAACACTACACGGTCTACACCAACGCCACCTTATAATTTGTTTGCAATTTGTGACTTGTGAGTTATTACTCCATAAATTAATACGGAGTATTACGTACTACTCCGTATAAAATTACTGTCCTATACAAACTTCCGCTCTGAAAGGACATCCATACACCAAAACAATGCAAACAGCAACTTAACAAAATACCGCGTTTAACCGATCTCAGTCCCACAAAAAAAAATATCCAAGGAAGTAAGCGATTTGCATCACAACAATCTACAAAATCAAATCCATCATCTAATTCTCTCTGTTTCAAATCAATTTCATTCTTTTTATCAAAACAATTTACTGTTTTTCTTTTAAAACAATGAATTATTGTTCATTTGTCTATCTTCTATACAAATCTAAACTACACTTTTTCCTTCTTCTAATTCCACACCCAATAATATGAGATTGATAAAGTTTAGTAATTGGGCGAAGGTAATGTTAATTTAACATGCAACGTTGATAAGCATAATTTTGCTCCAAATTGACGTTTCAATCTAATAATTCTCAACGTATTTTTTCATTTTTGTGATATGTTTACTTTAAGTTTGTCCTACTAATTAATAAAAGTGATGTATTTTTTAATAAACTTCATTTATAATGTGCATTTGTATGTATTTCTTCTCCATAATTTTAACATAAACATTTCTTATATTTATGCCACTGAAAAAAGTAAAAATGAAGTTATATATAATTTTGTTTTTGTTTTCTTCAAATTTTAAAAATAAAATCAAGTCTAGACAGCTGATAGGAGATACCCTTTGTCCTTGAAACCACCATGTTTTATGAATTTATCTTTCCAAAATGAAAAAAAAAACTATTTTGGCACAAAGAAAAATGGATCCGGAGCCTCTACCTTACTTTAGAGTAAGGTAGAGTGCCTTGCTTCCTCCCGGTTGTCCGATCGACAATTCAACGGTCGGAGATCTTGGGCTCCACTTTTTCGCCGATCTCGAGGTCGTGTTGGCCGCTCCCCTCCCGTCCGATGCGCAAGGCAGCCTCCTAGTCGGGTAGAGGATCCCAATCCAAGAAAAATAGGGAATGGGGTAGGGAGTACTATGAACCACAAATTTCTAAAGTGTTACAGGTGAAATAAATGGGAGGTACTGAGCTGTCGTCAAAAGTCTGCCAAGAGAAAGACACCTCCTATCATTTAATCATAATTGGTTTTTTCGGGACCCACATCTCCCCCCAAGACCTACGTTGGCTTTCTTGTCGGTCTCCTTGTGTGGGGCCCGCACCTTCAATTTTCGAAGTGGTTGGTGGCGTAGGTGTAACCTGCATTCATTTCTTGCAGTACGGGGAACACCCACATCTCATCTTCAAATCCCCGTCGTCCATTCTTCTAAATTAGAAATCCAACGCTCTTAACTACGCGCCCTCCCTTCGAATTATGAACATTTAGGGAGAGAAAAAAATACTTACGCCAATTTTTTATTCAAATAATTTCACATTTGTAACCAAAACACTTGTTATCTATACAAATATGATATCTTGATTGTAATTGATGTACTAATTTTACATGGAAGAACCTGCCCAATCGGGGCTATCTCGATGATTATGGGGCACAACAGCACAAGCAACAAGAAAAGAGTAAAGTAAAATGGGTCATCGTCTATAGATGACTTAGGGAGTGTTTGCAATTGCTTCAACTTTAAAAAAATGATTTTTTAAAGTGATTTGGAGAAAAGTGATTAATAGTACAAGTTGGTAGTGTTTGAGAAAAAAGTGATTCTGAAAAAGTAAAAGTTGGTAGTGTTTGGTAAAATAAGTACTTTTTGTGTAATAGAAAAAGTGAAAAGCAGTTTAAAGCACCCTTCCACCTGCTTCCAGCTTTTAGCTTTTAAGTGATTAATTTAAGCAGAAGCTGCAATTTGAAAACACTCTTTTTAACCTTTTTTAAGCCAAAAGCTGAAAAGTGCTTTTTTTAATCAACAGCAAACACTCCTTTAGAACGATTCCGCACACTCTTACCGAGCCCAAGCTTCTATTCCAAGCTAATAGAATATAGAAGAACTAAAAAAAGAGAAACTAATGCTGTCAATCCATTATTATGAAATATGGAGTATATGTTACTCCTTCCGTCCTTTTCAAATGTTCTCATTTTCATTTTTTAGACGTCACACTTAAAGGTTCACATTTTCTATTTTAAGAAACAACTAACACTCTTAACTAACAAATTCATCATCAAATATTAATAATAATACATCTATAACATCACATTTATCAGTAATAATATATTATATCTAGTGGGTCGGGGTGAATACTGCAGACCAGCGGATCTAGTAGTCGACAATTGTATATGTTGGAAAAATGATTTTACAAATTAATATTATGGCCATTAATATTATTTGTAAAAAACCATTTTAAAATGAATGAGAAACTGTTTCTAGAAAGATAAGTCTGACATTATATCTCACACGCAAACACCGTCGCCGTCGTCCAGTCGGCCGGGTCGGGTTTCGGGTTAGAGTCTTAAACCGTCCGCCCGAATATATGGCTTAAAGATAATTCTATTAGTCGCTCTCAATTTTGGATAATTTTTGACAATAGACACATCCTTTGTTTTTAAAAAGAGGGTCACAACCTTTCTTCTACAGGTGTCTTTTGGTTGTAGAGTCTCCTGACTAGAGCTCTATATAAACTCATGCTTGCCTGCATTTTCAATCAATCCAGAATTCACAAAACATTTCCTCCGTATTATCTCTTTCTTTGTTGCATCTTTGAGTTCGCCGGGATCCCGTTGGGAGCGAAGAACCGTTCTATCCTGGGAGACACTTGCTACATGTGTCGGGCAAAAACGTCTTAAGGAAACAACGTTACGTTGGGCTCGGTTACAAGTAATCTTACATTTTTCCTTAATTATTTATTTGTTATTTCATTTGCATGCATAATATTGTACATACATATAACAATATACCATCAAAATATTTCTCAAAACATACTCGAATTAGCATATTTAATTATTGTCTAAATAGTCGTATCATTTTGCAATGGGGACCTTTGAACATGACGGAGGTTGTACTATGTATACTATCAAGGTGGTAGATGGTGATGGTGATGTGGCGTGCCCTGGGTGGCTAGCCCTCGATCATAAATTTTTCATAACTGATGCATTAAATGCGCTTCTGCCAAATCTTTGCCTTCTCGCCAATTATCCTGGAGCAACATGCCAAAAGCTCATTCGCAACACTCCAGGCAGTTTGTTCAAGAATTTTGTGACTCGCGGCCCAAGTTGTGCGGGTAGTGCCGCTCGGGTCTGGAGCCTTTCACAAACGTTCTTGATTCATTTTCTCGCAGAGGTATTGGGCAAATCCCGTGCTGGGCTAATTTCCCCAACATTGCGTATAACTTTATGAAATCATAGGGCCCAAGCGGTTCAGAACACCCCGATCGGCATTCGGCTCAGTTCTTCTACTTGGAGTATTTCAGGAAACACTGACACCTAAATACCCATGGCGGGGTCCCACACACCGAACGTCCTACCCGAACGGGAAGTCAGCAAGTGGAAGCCGCATTTAATGCTAAAGTATGGCAGCATTAAGTGGAGGCATGGGTGTATACGTGGCAGAGGTTACAGCCTACCGGATTCAGTAACGTGTCCATCTCTTCCATCCTCACTCTAGTATAAATACCTGCATTAAATACATTGTAAAAGGTTAGCATTTTCATACTCAAAGCTTAGCAATAGAACCATCTCTCTTGTATTGTATTCAAACTCGTAGTGACGTACTGTTCGGGCAGTTCGATTGTAATCACCGAATTACTTAATACAATTTAGCTTCTGAGTACTTCTTAATTCACTACTTTATATTTTATACACTTTCTGAACCAGAACCAAATGTCCTTAATATCCAAAGCGTGTGTTGGGCTTTCGGATCTACGGGATAAAATCTCAACAAGACTTGAATTTCTACCTAAAAGTTTAATTGATAGATCGAAGGCGTAATTCAGAATTTTAATATATACTCACTCCGTCCCAAAATTATTATCCTGTTTGATTTTTCACACAGATTAAAAAAATGACACTGTAACGACACTGTTTGGCACTGTAGCGATACTGTTTGGCACTGTAGCAACACTATTTGACACTGTTTTGCACTGCTTGACACTGTTTAGTATAGATTTGTTTACCAAATAAGGAAGGTAAAAAACGAGACAATTTTTTCGGGACGGACCGAAAAGGAAAGTAGGACAATAATTTTGGGACGGAGGGAGTAATGCATTATTATTTCATATTTTACATGTATGTGACTTTCAACATTTTTACATTTTTATGGGAATATTTTAAACAAAAAATGTTTTCACGTATTCTTTATACTATATGTAATTTCAATATAAATACATTATTAATTAAAATTTGCTATCACGAAATAATGTGCGTAGTAATATAAAAAAGGAAAAATTGATAATAATAATCCAACTATTGCCGGTCCGCTAACAATAATCCAAACTATTGATTATTTTTGTATAATCCCAACTATATATACTGTCTGCCAATAATGGTCCATGACCGGATATTACCTGCTATAACAAGTGAATTTTTAACAAAGATTAAGCTTAAAAATTAAAGTTGGAATCATTTATAGGGATTACTTGCTCTATCTCTTCTCATCTACGTTAGAAACTATAAGAATTTATTTATAGTCGTCGACATCGGATCATTATTGGCGGAAGGTCTCCAAAGTTGGGATTATTCTGAAATAATCGATAGTTGGGATTATTATAAGCGAACCGCCAATAGTTGTTATTATTAGTATCAATTTTTCCATAAAAATGGTTAGGTGATAAATTTTAAAGAAAAATGTCATACCGTTAGATGTTGCAAAGAAAAATTTATGTTATATCCAAATCGGAGAAATATATGACCCAAATACATCACAAAGAAGTAGCTCTAGAATTACTTAGGTGGTGTTTAAAACCGATTCTTCTTCTGCTTGTTTTTAAAAATAGAATCAGAACCAGAATTGGTTTGTTAGAAACTGGTTTCTCCCAACTTGTAAAAGACTCTTTTAGGAGTAATTTGAAGTGTCCAGATGTATTTCTGGACATTCATCCAAACATTTCAATATTTCTATCTGCTCTTTGTAAGAGTGGGAGCAATTTTAAGGAGTTTTAAACACCCCTTATCTGGGAAAATGGGAATATAAATCACAATATCATTTTAAAAAATATGAAAACTCAGTTATTATATCAAATTAAAACGGGCCAAACTTTGCGGGCCTCAACCTTGATTAAAGAAAGGTTATGGATAAAACCTGATTTTTTATGGGCTTCATGAATTAACCAGGTAAGCACAAGTAATTTTGTTCACTCCTTCTCAAAGGACGGTGTTGTTGACCCATTCCCTGTTGACCTGCCATAGTCACGTGGCATATCAATTTATGTTTTTGTGATTATTCATATGCTATTGCATACGGAGTATTTAATATTCATATCCATTTAGAAAAAAAATGTAAAAATAGATCTTCTCCAAATATTTTAATTTATGTGCAATATCGATACCATTATCATAAAACTATGTTCAATTGATATACTTTTTTTATAAAATTTAGACCTTATATAAAAATATGATAACAATTTGGAAAAAATTGTAAATCTTAGGGAGTGTTTGCAATTGCTTCAACTTTAAAGAAGTGATTTTTTAAAGTGATTTTGGGAAAAGTGATTAATAGTAAAAGTTGGTAGTGTTTGAAGAAAAAGTGATTCTAAAAAAGTAAAAGTTGGTAGTGTTTGGTAAAAGAAGTACTTTTTGTGTAATAGAAAAGTGAAAAGCAGTTTAAAACACCCTTCCACCTGCTTCCAGCTTTTAGCTTTTAAGTGATTAATTTAAGCAGAAACTGTCATTTGAAAACACTCTTTTTAACTTTTTTTAAGCCAAAAGCTGAAAAGCACTTTTTTTAATCAAATGCAAACACTCCCTTACATACATGACAAGTATGGAATTGAAGGATGGGTGATGATCACCCTTTCTGGAGTGTGTGAACAAAATCGACTTTTATTAACAGTTTTGTGGCTCTTGATTGTGAAATCAATCATAGTCTCACAATACAGTTGCTAAAATGTAATACTATGATCTTAAAGAAGTGGGATGATTATTATGAAAATAAAGTTATATTTTTGGTATTTAATTTCTTAAATACAAAATTACAGTTATATGTATTATGAGATAATAATGTCATTAGACAAATTTGGTGGGTTGGACACTACTCACACTAGCACGAGATAATTATAGTGGAACTGTGGAAGAGCTCATATAAAAAAGTAAGCGAATGTGTTCTTTAAATTTAAAAATATCATTGAACTATGTGTCAGTGTGTTACCCGTAAATCGTAATGGTATACTCATCCCCGCAGTATTTAGTTTATTACTACATTTTTTCCTTTAAATTATTTTGTTTGAGGTGTACATGTATGTTAATATTGAAATTACCCCATATTAGAATAATTAAATTGGCTAAATTTGTTGAAATAAAAAATGTGCACGAGACACTTAGATTAAAGTTAGTGGTATGACTGGAATCATACATTTCAAATCCTGAAAGAACAGGATATGTTCCAATTTTTTAGTATGAAACTAGATATCAAAATAATTGTCCCAAAATAAGACTTACAAATTTACAATCCCCATCAGAACAATTGTGTTTTTTCTTTTCTTTGATGTCCCAAAACAATTGTGTTATTTGATTATTTCCTCTTTTGACAATATAATGTGTCTCAGTGTCTTATATCAATTTACTCATTTCTTGGGGTGGTTCGATACGGTATACCTTATATTTTTTCTCATACCTTTGCCGTACTAAAACTTTCGGCATGCAAAATTTGCATACCTTTACCTTACCAAAGTTTCGGTATACCGTATTTTGGTATACCAAACTTTCGGTTCGGTAACAGTACGATATCGGTAAATTGCCGTGCATGTCTCCCAATACAAAAAATTATCATAGACTAACGAAATATACTAAAATGTTATTACTAGCGGCACATAAAATCGCAATCACCCAAACTAAAATTAAAATTTGATAACCAAGTTGTACGGCACATAAAATTATGACGAGGTGCGTTTGAAAAATTAAAAAATTCAATTCAATTCCAAAGTAAGAAAAGAAAAGAAAAACAGAAGCTCGAAGCGCGGAAGCGGAACGTTTGGGATATTACGTGGCTGTTTTGACTATTTGCGTTAAGTAATTTGTCTTGTACGTACAAAATGACGCGCGGTGACGAGTTTCACGTGCTTGGTTGGCGCGTGGATCGATACAGGAAAGAAGGGAACCAATAAGGTCGTCGGGAAATCCGATTTGGATTACCCGAATCCTCCGGTGGCGCTGACAACCCGGTTTAAGGGGGGAAAACGGGCATTTCGTGTAATTTGGACCTTCGATCAATTTTTGGGATTTTTCATCGAGAAAGAAAGAGTATTTGGGGTTTGTTCCTCTGATCTGGGCTTTCTGATGACGGAATTATGATCATTTCACAACTCCAAATGAAAATAAAAATTCTATTTGAAGAAAATATTTACGCACTTCTTTCCTACTTGACAATGAAACTTCATTTCTTTTCAGCTTTCTTCTTCCTGGCATGGCCTACTTTGGAGAAGGAGCTCATCTTTTATGTTTACGTCTTCAGTGTTCGTTTAAAGTAATAAGCAGGAGTACTCCCCCTCGTCGCTTGAGTTTCAATGTTTAAAGTAATAAGCACATAACAATTATTAAAACTTTTGTACATTAGGAGGTGTTTGTATTGTATTACGTGTCTCTTATGTTCTTACCTACGGAGTATATATGTAGGTAGTGTACAACTGTACATATATAGTCTCATTTGAAAAAAAAAACTCTATATATACACACGTAGACACGTAGTATATTTTTATGAATCAATGATCGAAAATTCAATGAGCGTGATCTTGGGATCCACTTTTTCGCCGATCTCGACGCTGTTCTCGTCGCTGCCTGCAGACCGTTTGATGCGCATGCAAGGGACTCTGTCGTGCGTCAGAGGATCTTGATCTGTATTTTTATTGAGATATTACCCGAAATAAGACTAAAAAAGTTTGAAAATTCCAAAATAGGACTTCCATGTTTTTATTTCCAAAATAGAACTAATTACTATCATGTTTTGGCAGTACCAGACTTCAAACATGACAGTATTTTCCAAACTTGGCAGTAATTAGTCCTATTTTGGGAATAAAAACATGACAGTCCTATTTTGGAATTTTTAAACTTTTTTAGTCCTATTTCGGGAACTTTCCCATTTTTATTTGACCCATTTCAATTTTGTACGATCAACAAGATCCCAATTTTTTCCTTCATTGGTATTAACGAACATTAATTTTAGAGCCCATTCTAAATTGTGTAATAATAAGAAAAATAAAGTTCAAGTTAGGGTAGAACGAAAATGAAAGATGAGATAATTGATGGGTATCTAGCCTTATAGCCTGGGTATATATATAAATATATAATACTCCGCATGAAAGAAATTTCTACTTAGTGATAATACGGAGTATATGAATTGAAGGATGATTAGATGAGACATACTTTGCTACACTTATTTTTAATAGTACCGCTACTTTTTCTAGCCATACATACCTCAAATTTTATCCACATAGAACGGTGTCTCTACTTTTGAAGCTCTATTATTTAAGTTGACAATGCATAAACATTATTTTTCAATCACTCCACAATACATTAATGTACAAAAATCACATGGCATTGAACAGCTATTCGGAAAATGAGAGACCAAT